TTCCCTCCTTTTCTATCTCTCAGAAGAGTTTGGGAAGGATTGGTACTAATTCTTCAGTGTTTGCTAAATTCACCGGTGAAGCCGTCTGATTCTGGACTTCTGTTTGTTGGGAGGCTTTTTAAACTGTTGCTTGAATCTCCTTGACTGCAATCAGTTTGTTCAAATTTTCTATGTCTTCATGATTCAGTCTTGGTTGCTTAGTTAATTCCTAGGTTAACCTTTTTTCACGTAACGTAACATGAAAATAAAAATAACAAATTAGCACACAGGGCCTTCAAGACTGTTCTCCTCCAAAAGGAATCAATACTTAAATTTAGAAGTGATGGAATAGGGTTCATGTCCGTAAGCCACGTGTATGTTTTTAAATACCTCAAAAACTGATAGGAAAAAGGCCAACAATCTAACTTCAAAGTAGACAAAGGCTAGGAACAGAATCCACAAAGTAAGTAACATGTATGCCAATGAATGAATGAAAATGTACTTAACTTCATTAATAGGATGCAAATCACAACAACAATGTGGTGCCATTTTAACCCATCAATCTAGCAAAAGTCAAAGAACTGTCAGCAACAGTGTTGGCCAAGAGGTGGGGAAAGAGGCCCTCTTACACACTGTGGGTGGAGAGGTGAACCTTCCAGCACAACTGGGCAATAGTTTTCAAAATCAAAAAGGTACATATTCAAAGACCTATACGCCAGTTCTGAAAATCTATCTTTATATGTCCAAAGGCAAGGCCATTCAATACAGCATCATCTGCAACAGCAAAATAAAAATAACAACAAAGCAAAAGGGAAAAACCTGAACTCCCATTAGGAGGCCGATTAATGGGTGTTCTAGTACAGCACATCCAGGCAACAAAATACAGTGTGGCTGTTAGAAAAGATACCTCTGTAGACAGACTGGAAAGATTTATACATGTTTAAGAGAAATAAGTACTTAGAAGATCAGTATGTAGTGTACACTCTTTCTTTAAAGCTATACATATTTATATACACATACACACATATATCTGAATATACATTTGAATAAATATATAATATGTATATTCATATTTTTAAATATATATTTGAATAAACAGATAAAATAGCCTGAAAGGCAACCACTAACAACAGTTTAGCGTCTGAGGGTGGAAGTGAGAACTTCCACTATTCACTTCACTGCTCTTGTACATGGATTTATAATTATCCAAGGGCATAAATGGATTCTTTTTTTTTTTTAATGGAAATACTGGGGATTGAACCCAGAACCTAGAGCAGGCTAAGTATGTGCTCTACCACCAAACTACACCCTCCTCCCTTGGATTCTTAAAATTAAGGATTTTCACCAAAGGGAGCCTTAACTCAAAAAGACACCTGCACCCCAATGTTCGTAGCAGCACTATTTACAATAGCCAAGACATGGGAACAGCCTAAATGTCCATCAACAGATGACTGGATAAAGAAGTTGTGGTATATTTATACGATGGAATACTATTTAGCCTTAAAAATGGTAAAATAATGCCATTTGCAGCAACATGGATGGCCCTGGAGAATGTCATTCTAAGTGAAGTAAGCCAGAAAGAGAAAGAAAAATCCCATATGATATCACTAATTTGTGAATCTAAAAAAAAAAAAGACAAAATGAACTTATATATAAAACAGAAACAGACTCACAGAGATAGGTTACAGACTTGTGGTTGCCAGAGGGGAGGAAGGTGGGAAGGGATAAACTGAGAGTTTGAGATTTGCAGATAGTGACTGGTATATATAGAATAGATAAACCAGTTTATATTGCATAGCACAGGGAACTATATTCAATATCTTGTAGTAGCTTACAGTGAAAAAGAATATGAAAATGAATATATATATATTCATGTACAACTGAAGAATTATGCTGTACACTAGAAACTGACACAACATTCTAAATTGACTATACCTCAGTAAAAAAAAAAGTTGAGGATTTTCAGACATGTACAAAATTTGGGGGGACACTAGGCATTTACTTTGAAACTAATAAAACTATGTAGCTATGGACTTTGCTCTTACTGAAGTTCCCAGTATGAAATGGTACCCTAATACCTAAAAGAGCCTTACAACCTGCATAGTTAAGGCTGTATATTGTACATAATACCGGAGAGGATTTATCGGCTAGAAAACGTTCACCACTGCATCCTACCACCTCAAACAGTGCTTAGGAACTCAGTATTTTTTGAATAAGTAATTGTGTTTACAGCTTCATAAACAAGTCTTAACTTTCAGGTTTTCATTCCTTCTCTGCTAATTAAGAGTCGAGAAATTACTTCCATCTCCCAAAGCAATTTTGCAAACTCTTTGGTAGCCAAAAGTGGCTAAAATGCCGGTTTTCGAACTTACCAGAGGCTCTAGTTTTATCGGCTCCTGTCGCTTTCTTGTCCTCTCCTGAGCTCTTGTAGTGTGCTTAAATGTAAGGAACTGTGTGTCCTCTTCATTTTCTGTGGGTGTTGCAAAGCTCAGCCTTCCCTTTGCTTTTATACTATTCAGTCTTGTAAGCCCTGGGTTTTCCATCAGCTCTTCAATGTTTTTCAGGTCCAAGTCATTCTCTGAGGCACGAAAAGCCATCCTCACTCCTGGAGAGGTTAGGGTCAACAAAAGAAAAATAAAAGTACAGCAAAAGAACTGGGGAAGTGGGGTCAAGTGGAGGGGTTTTAAGAACCAGGGAGAGCTGAATTTACTTATTCTCAAATAAAACCCATCAAAGTTACCCCATTCTTCCAAAATGAGGACTTGAACCAGAGGAATGAAAATTAGGAACTATGCTTGGCCTTCTAGAAGCTCTGTAGCTGGCGTAGGACCCAGGAATTTGCATGTCTAGCTAAAGCTCCTGGAAGCTGCTGCAGCTGTCTCTGATTTGGGGACCACACTGGTCCAGATTTGGAAGGATGAAGAGAAATACAATTATATTGAGATCAATGTTTCTCACACTTGAATATGCCAAGTATGTCTGGGGTGGGAGGCTGTTCAAAATGCAGGTAGTTCTAACCAGGCAGTCTGAATCACACAGCCTAGGTACTCAGCAAAACCAAATAAAGGAAACAAACAAACAAAGGAGTTGAAGGCTAAATCAAAACAGTGTTTCTGGAGCTTTTATGTGCATGAGAATCATCTGAGGAGCTTGTCAAAATGCAGACTCCGATTCATAACCTTTGAGTACCAAGGCCCTAGAACACTAGAATTATGAGCCTTTTGGAGTGGTCTTGGACCCTCACCACCACTCACGCTCCAGCCCCACCAGACGGATGGAAATACTTTCCTTCAAAACAGTATTACAACACATGAGGTCTTGAGCCAGGTGTCAGCAGGCCCAGGTTTTAGTCTAGATCTGTGCTGGCCAGTTAAAATGTAAGGCATACCTCCTGTGCAATTTCAAATTATCAAGTAACCGCATTTACACACAAAAAGAGGGAACAGGTGAAATTATTTTGAATAATTAATTGAATAACTTTAACTTATCCAAAATAGTGTCACTTCGACATGGAGTCAGTATAAAATTTATTAATGCGATAGTTTATTTTTTGTTAACTACATCGTCAAAAACACAGTATTTCACCTTTAGGGCACACCTCAATCCAGGTTAGTGGCTACTATACTGAACAGCGCAGGTCCAGGTGTGAGCACTCGGTGTGACATCTCGGACAAGCTCCTTGACATCTAGTCCTCACTTTCCTCTAAAACGCTAGGCTGATAATCACTAAAATGCCTTTCCACTGACTTTCTCTGTCTCTCTGAGCCTTTCCTTATGTGCTCCAGAAGCCGCGCTGAGACTCTGGCCGAGAAGTCGGAGCTCAGCCCCCCAGCGCGATGCCCGCGGACTCACCAAGTCAGGATAGAGCAGCCACCGCCGCAGAGACAGAGCGAAGGCCAGTCCGGGAGCAGAAAGTTGTCGCCAAGCCGGGAATGTTTCCCGTTGCCTAGCAGTCACCAGGCCTCCAGCGACGCGCACTGCGCCTGTGCGTGGCCGTCGCCACGGCAACCCCTCAGCCAATAGCAGCCCTGGATCCAGGACTGTGGAGGGCAGTCGAGCCAATGAGTGTCTCCGGAGCGCGTCCTACGTCGCTGGTTGGCGGGGAGGCCGCACTCCACCTGCCCAGCCCCGCCTCCGCGCAGGGACGGGAGCACCTGCTGGGCGGGCAGGCGGGGCAGCCAAGGGAGGTGGTTAGTTCTCGCTGTTACTTCGCTTATCAAGCGAGCTGCCCACGCTCAGTGTTCTTCCCTCCTCCTGCAGGAGTTTATTCTGTTACTCGTCAACAGGCTTGAGACCACCTTGACGTTCGTTTTAATCGAAGTTTCTCTGGTTAGAAGAATCAAGTGCCTGTGTAGACAGTTCGGGCCCAGAGGAAGCGACCATCCCGCATCTCTGTCCCACCCAGCTACCTCCTCCCGGGAGAGTCCTAAGAACGCAAGGAGTGCGGGCTCTTCTTCCTCTCAATCCCCACCGTGTCCTTTCTACTAATGTTCTTTAGCACAAGCTCATATTACTTGGTCCTCGCGCCCTACTTACCAAAGCAAACCCTTGGTCTCAGTGGGCATTTAGACCCACCTAATTCTGTCCCTAAACGACTGCTACTAACACTGTAAGGAGTCGACCCCTCCCAAGCCCAGAGCAGGTTGCTTGCTGAAGATGCCTTATCCCCTTAGCGATCAGGGGAAGCAGCCCTTTTACCTGCCCTGGGGAAATGTTCCACCAGATGGCAGAGTCCTGGTTTTCAACCACCCCTCCAAAATGACGTAATCACTGCTCTGAAACTCATTATTCCATTAACCCCTTTTTGGTCACCCCCCAACTTTTTTAACCTTGATATTTGTTTCTTGCCTTGAATGCCAAGTCCTGTGTGGAGTACTTCACATATCTTACTCACAACCTGAATTTTCTTTCAATCTTAACGTATTCAGGTATGTTTTTTACGTGCTAAGGCATGACAGTACCTAGCAAGGCAGAGAATCCGATAACAGGGCTGGAACGGAGGTAACAGAGCACTTAATCCAACTACTCCCTCAGTTGATTGATAAGAGAACTGAAACCTAGAGAGCGCGAGTGTTTTACTCCAGGTTGGGCACCTAGTCCCGGCAGAAATAAAGCTAGAATACAGATTTCCTTCTCCTTAATCAGGAACTGGAAACAGCAAAGGAGAAACTTCAGAAACAATTCAGAAAAACCTCAAACATAGGCATAATAAATACTAATTCCCCAGAGATGAAAGGTACCCTCAGTTAATCAGAGCCAATAAAATACAAGCTAGTAATAAAAAAAGAAATTCAAAACAACCCAATATACACCAAAGGATAAAATGATCATACATGCCATGTTAGACACACCCAAAAAATACATTTCATTTCAGATGTGCAGTGAATGTTTTAATCTGTTCTAAGTTTCTGTAGTGGAGACGAGGCTATTGCTCCTCAGTCCAAGAATTGTCTTGTCAGTACATATACTGCTTTTGTATTGAGAGAAGTGAGTTATTTTTAAAATAGCACAAGGAAATATATGAGTGCATACAATGGAGGGACCATGAACTTGACGGAGGCCAGGTAAATGGATCAGGAACACTGGTGGATTTAACCTTCAGTGAAAAGAAAAGACACCCTGTTTCTTGTGACGGGAAGGAAGGTGGGAGCTGATTAGGTAAATTGGTAGATTCGGGGCCAGATTTTTTTCTGTTTTCTCCGTGAAGCAGGAGGTAAGGTCAGGTGCTGAGAAAGATGGAGGTGGGAGTGGTCAGGCCCCAAACAATTCATGTGGGTATTGGGGGATAACTCACCTTTGGTCTTGGCTGTGCACGGTTTAATTTTTGTCTGTGAACTGCTGAAAACTGCATTCATGTGTGTGGGTGTACATTTGTGTACAGCTGTCAGAGTCTCAAAGGAGTCTGTGATCAATTGTCCCTCAGGGTTGAGAACTTCACCTGTTCTGAAAGTGTTGTAGCCTTAAGTACAGGTCACTTTCGGCTCAGCTTTCTGGGGACTTTGTGGTATCATGTTACTCCATCACCACCTGGTGGTTAAATGAATGTACTGCCAAAGGAGTACACCTTTGAATCACAGATGTTGAATTAGGGCAATAGTTTCTTCCCTCAGATTTGGAAGGGACTTGAGGCATTCTATGGTATAATGTCCCACACATGATGGGATTTAATAATAACTACAAAATTTTCCTGCAAAGTGTTGAACCAATCTTAATTGTTCATGACTGAGAAGGCCAGCCCAAGCTCAGAAAATTATCTTCCAATTAAAGTTTTTTGCAGAAGTGATTTCTGAGCCAGTATTAAATGTTTTTGAAAGGCCATAGAGCAGTGGCCTTTAAACTTAGCTGAGGGTTAGGACCACTTGGGAAGTTTTGAAACACCCTGATGGCCAGGCATATACCATGCTAATTAAACTCTCCAAGAGTGAGAGACCTCGGCATCAGGGTTTTTCCTAGTGTCCCCTTCCCTAGGTGAGTCCAATGTCCGGCCAAGTCTGATGACCTCAGCCACAGGGCCGCCTATTCAGGATGTGCTCCGTGAGCCAGCAGCACTGGCCTCCCCCGGGGGCCTGCGGAGTCTCAGGCCCCACCCTAGACCTCCCGAGTCAGCCTACATTTTAATAATCCTCAGCTGGCTCACTGCATATACATTTAAGGAGCACGGTTACAGAGAACAGAATGGGTGTCCAGCAGGTCTGCTGGACACACAAGGCAGGAATGGTGCTTAAAAGGTGGGCTTCTCTGATCCAAATGAATTTATTTACAAAACAGAAAGAGATGCACAAACATAGAAAACAAATTCATGGTTACCAAAGGGGAAGAAGGGGGAGGATAAATTAGGAATTTGGGATTAGCAGATATAAACTACTATATATATAAAAAAGGATAAACAACAAGGTCCTACTGTACAGCACAGGGAACTACATTCAATATCTTGTAATAACCTATAATGAAAGAGAATATGAAAAATAATATATATGTGTGTAACTAAATCACTGCTGTCTACCAGAAACTAACACAACATTGTAAATCAACTATACTTCAATAAATTTTTTTTTAATTTTAAAAATTAAGGCTCTGTTGACAATGGGGTTAGACAAAAAGATGCTGTGTGGGAAAGCACATCTGCCACAGGAACCAAAGCAAGCAGATGACAATGTTAAAAATACAACTGAAACAGAAACTCTCACATTGCTGGTGGGACTCCGAAAAGGTACAGTCATGTTGAAAAACACTTTGGCAGGTTTTTACGTGCCTAAGTGGATTTCACAGATTTGATTAAGGATCTCGAGATGGGGGAAATTATCTTGGATCATCTAGGTGGGCCCAGTGTAATTGTAAGGGTCCTTACAAGAGGGAGATGGGAGAATCAAAGTAAGAAACAGAAGTGAGATGGAGGAAGCAGAGGTTGGAATGACGCACTTTGAAGATGAGGGACGGGGCCATGAGCCCAGGAATGGGGGTAGCCTCTAGAAGTTGGAAAAGGAAAGCGTTCTCTTCCAGAGCCTCCAGGAGGGAAGTGGCTCTGCCAACACTTTGATTTTAGACTTCTGATCAGGTTGTTCAAGAGGCAGCCATACAAATATAAAATGTAGCTCTTGCCCTATTGAAGTGAGAGGAGAGGGGGCAGGGCATAGCCATCAAAGGAAGGACACAGCCATGGAGGACAGGACAAACTGGTTAGAACCAAGATGGCAGAAGATTCGACTTCCAGTAGACCTTGAGCCTCATGGTGCACCCACAGGTGCCATGAGAGCTCCTAGGCTGAACTTAAAAGGTGAAAAAGTTGGGAGGATGGAAATCCTGGAAATCCTACCCCCCTTCCCCAAATTAGCTGGAATAATCCTCCTGCTCCTTAGGCTAAGAAATTACTGAGCCCATAAAAGCTAATGACCCCACACCTCATGGTAGTTCTCACTCTGTCTCTTGCCTTCTGAGACGGCCCACGTTTTGCCTATGGAGCATGTATCTCCTAAGCCGTTTTCCCTTCTGAGTGAGGCAGACTGCACTCTGTCCGTGGAGCGTGTCTCTCTCTAAATAAACTTGCGTTCACTTTACCACGCCTTGCTCTTGAATTCTTTCCTGCGTGAGGCAAGAACCTGTTCTCCCCCAGCACTATGACTAGTTGGGGAAGGGAGACTGAGCTTTTAAGAACTATTTCAATAACTAATGATAATCGCCTGAAATGTTTTCTTAGGACAGATTTCTCTTCGTGTCTAAGAACAGAGTTTCCAATTTATATTCCCAAACCTAAGTATGAAAGGGGGCTGGAGGCTTCAGAGTGTGTCAGTTAGCAGAGAAGACGAGAAACAGAACCCTTTCAAAAGACAGCTTTGACCCATATAAATATCCCAAAGGGTCATGATGTCCTAGAGTAAGGTGTCTGTCCCCAGAGACGCACTTTCCTCTCTTTGCAGCTCTCCTCATAGGCTGGGACTCGCACCAGGTCTAACGAGTGTCATCAGCAACACAGCAACAGGCTGTCAGTTGACCTTAGTTCCCCTGCTGACCCGGGGAGGAGGCCTTGTCCTCGCCCTCCGGCTGCTGCTTCCTGTGAGCCCAAATCGCAGGCAAGGCCTGAAAGCCCCTGATCCATAGCCAGCATCACCACCATCGTTTACCGGGTGTCCACAAGTGCTTGGGGTTTAGCAACAAGCCTTTCCTGTGTTATCTATGGCTTTAATGCAGGGAATAAACTTGGGTTCTCTCTCCTTCATCTGAAGATCAGAGATGGCTCATTGGCTCTGCAGGAATTACTTTTTATCATCCAGGGATAAATATGAGCCAGAAGACTCCACGTGCCTACAAGGCACTGAATAACATTACTGTTTCTCGGGCTGTCATGGATAAGTTAGGTTTCCTTCGCTGGTTCCTCTTCCAGCCCAGCCCCTGCCACTTACACCTGGTGCGCTGGGATTTGAGGCATTCAGATAATATGATCATATTCTGCTTTTTCACAGCACCTTCTATATTGTCCAAATTTGAGCCTCAAAAAAGTTCTGGACCAGAGGAGGGGCAGAAATGCACGTTGCCATTTGACAGATGGGGAAATTGAATGCATAAAGAAATTGTCCCTTTAAAAGTCTTAGTACCAGGACCAAAACTGCAGGTGTCCTGACTCCCAGACCATATGCACCACGTCTGTCCACGGTGACTGTGTGATAAAGAGAAGCGAAAACCTGGGTGAAGCTCAATGTCAGCCCTGTGGCCTGGCTGTCCTTTGGTGTCCCCAGTTGGAGGTCTCTCGGTATCAGGAAACTACCTTTGCTCCCCTTGGCAGCTCACCACGAAGGGCTGGTCAGACACATCCTGAATAGGCGATCCTGAATAAATATTTGTTGAGTGAACAAGTGATTGACTGC